ATGTCATGGACCGCTACGTTCAAATTGTGAATTTGTATGTCGAATAGTGAGCGCACTTCATGCAGCTTTATCTGTCCATCTACTTGTGTATAGGTGGAGGTTGACATATTTTTTTTATCTCTATGATAGAATGTCCCGAGCCAGACCCAGTGCTTAATGCCTTACCCGTCTGGGTACCCGATCGATCTGTAGGAGCGGTTATCCATTACTCATGTAATGTGGGGTTCACACCCTTCGGGGTCTCAAACCGCACGTGCAAGGCCAATGGATACTGGGAAGAAGTGACATTCGCGTGTACCATAACCACGAGTAAGTGCCAGTAACAGTATGTGCGGTCATTGTATTCAACTTTACGTCAAACATGTACAATATCGTATTATGGTGACGAATGTCATTACAAATGAAAAGGTTTAAAGCATTTCTGCTATCAATATAACTACAGTCTAATTACTAGAAAGTAAATCAGAGATATTTTACGAATTATATTACTAAATATTGTTCAATGTATCATTTAGATAATTTATTGTTACGTTCTACTGATAGAAAAACATGATGTAATAACACAATTACATTGTGACAACGAGACAGAAATTTTTCTGATAAAGTTTTTACATTTATAAAGGTCGAAAAACACCGATATCTGTCTGGTCTCGCGTTAACTCCGTCACCCATTTTCATTCTGTGGACGACGGCAACCGGACATTTTCATCCAGGGTTATTTTTGCCATGCAACCAGAAATTCAAACTCGAATTTGGAGTTTCGGTGGTAGCCACCTATATAGCCGTATTATTGTTATCGCTACCGCAAACAAACGGCGGGATAAATTATATAATACATGTTTAGATATTAGCTCATTCATTATCCGGATTTATTTATATCAATTTAACACTATTAGCAGAAGACTTCATATGTTGTATAATTCATATTGAATACTAAAATATAAAACGGAAAAGTAAAACCTGCTTTTCATAGCCAATTTGATTTCAAATGTGATATTCTATTTTCCTGTGTTAGCGCCATACAGCGATACATTCCAAGAACACAGTGGATACGCTTTCTTCGTGGACGCCGATAGTACTTGTGCTGGTGCACTTCCACTGCTGAACTCTCCGGCGGCGACTTCAGCTTTCATTTCTTCATTGGGTAATGCTGAAGGTAAGACCACATTAAGTGACAATAATTATTGTATTAGGGAATGAAAACTATGGTAAAGCATACCATTATATATATATACACATGTACTAGACATTCTTTTAAAATATCGTTCAATATTGAAAATTATGAAAATCAAATTTAAGGATTTGTGCACCTTTCCATATACCTTTCGGCATTTATTTCGACCAATTTGGATCTTCCGCAGTTGACTAATGTGAAGGTTTTAAAATTTCGGCCATTACCATCACTGACAGGACCTTGTAGGATGAAGTTCAATGCATTATCATAAATTTGTATTGAAAGGTGTCGTTCACTTGAGTGTCTTTTGTACAACCATTATGATAATGTAAGGTATGATAATTGTAATTAGGGATGGGTGGCACACGTTGGGAAAGTGTCAGAAACACTTGTGTTTGGCTTCAAATCTGACCTCTAGGTAACGTCCTAGTGTAGATCGTTGTAGTATGCTGACGCGAAAAATGTTATAAACATGACCGAGAAAGCGTCGATTTATCACAAAACCTACTGATTTAAGATATGTGTTACAGTTATTCGAAACCTACAGCAAAAACGGAGATTCAGTCTTTCCTTAAAAAGAGTAACATTGTAACCTTATTGCAAAGAAAGAAATTTGATGCAAATAGAATCTATCATTTGTACAATTGCCTCTTTTAAATTATATTATTCTCTTTATTGCCTCCAGAGATGAAGATTACAGAAGAATGTTGAACATATATACAAAGCGTACGATACATATATAAATGATTTCAGAATATGAATAACATAGATACACACTTTATGCTTTAGGAGTAGGCATATCAAGTGCAAATTAAGCGAAAGGGGGTATTTTAAGGTATACCCAAAGAGTTTCAAAATACAATTTTCTGACACAAATCAGGTAAATTATCATGAATTGTTAAGTCACATGACTCCTACAAAATGTACATGGACTATTTGTTATCCTTATCATTATATATATTAATTATAATATAGTTTACACATCTTGAACACACAAATACAGGATTTTGTCCTGAATTCAATCAGCTCTTCTGCACTAATTTGATAGTTTACATTTCCTCCAATCAATATATGTAATAACTGAAGGTCTGGGAGGGAGTGTAAATAAACACTAAACAGTATATCTGTGGTATTAATTATACAGCACCACAGTTGGTCCCTCAACTCGGAAGTATAAATACACTGTAGCACTAGATGTGTCATAGGGTCTTGATATAGAAACCCACATTTGTGACATAATTCCATGGTAGTCAAGCTACGAATGGTTACCACTATTTTCATTATGTAATGTATATATTTTCTCTATTGAGGAAATCGAAGTGTAACTTCCATAAAATACTAGGTTTTGGTTGGTTATGTATTTCTCTAAACCTTGTAAAATCATCATCAAACTTCATACGTTCCTTTAGATTGTACTCTTCATATTTCATTACAGCATTATATACTGTTGTTTTCCAATGGCTTTTCTTTCGAAAAATTCCAGTTTCTACAAAAGTATCTAGATTTTGAAGCAGTGAATACTTTTTTAATATTTTGACTATGTCTGGGATGAAACCGATCTGGTATGGTCTACCTAGTCGGAACAAAAATAGTCTGGTAATGAAAACTTTATAAACAAAAGACATTGTTTTCAATCTACACAATCTTCCAAAAAATAACAACTTTCTAATGTCTATATATGCTTCGATAGAGGTCCAACCAAGTAAAGATGTACACATATCTGTTCTGGTTCTCTTCTCAAACCCTTGAATAGATTTAACAATAAAATGTTGCGCCCTTTCTAGCATTATTATTTCGGTTTTTGTCAATTGCCAAAGCTCACATCCGTATAAGGCTGATGGATAAACTTTAATTTTGATAAGCTTCGCCACTGTTAAAGGGTTTAGAGCACAAGGATGTGCACCAGAACGAACAAGGGACATCGTACCCGATCTTAACTTATTACATGCACGTGCTGTTCTCTCGAATGAGTTCTGTTTACAGTTTAATAAGATACCAACATGTGTAATGCCATCAGTCTGTGGTATAATACAATTGTACAGATAAAGCTCATTATACACAGTGCAAGTTCTACTATTTGGGTTTGTGAAGGTAACAATTTTGCTTTTTACAGCAGAGAATGAAAAACGCCATCTTTTACTATAATTTTCACTTATTGATATCATTTTCTGAAGACTTCTAAGACTCGTACTGACCAAACAGATGTCGTCTGCTTGAGTAGGAACATTAACATTTAAATCAACAATTACTGCTCCTAGGCCAGAATTCTCTATTTCATTTAGTAAATCGTTAATATATACTAGGTACATTTTGGCAGACAATGCCCCTCCCTGTAATATTCCACGTTCCATTTTGAGCATGGAGGATTTTAACCCATTGAATAAAACACAACTTTCAACATTTGTATACATACATTTTAGTAAAATCCACGTCTTCGCATTTAATCCTAATTCATAAATTTTGTACAATAGTCCAGCGTGCCACACAGTGTCGAACGCTTTGTTACTATCTAAGAAAGCAACATGGACGTTGGAACCATATTCAATATTGTGACTTATACATTCTTGAAGACTGAATGATGTGCATAGACTACACAAATCTTTTTGATAGGCAGACTGTTGTCTATTTGGAAATACACGGGAATTTAAAACTCGTTGGATTCTTTGTGTAATGCATTCGTTCAGGTATATGTCTACCTCATTATGAACTTTCTTTTCAATTTCGTTCACGCGGTTTATGATTTCTCTTTGGAACGTGTTGTCCAATTCTTCATTCGGTTTATCATGGAACAAATTTTCGAAATGTGTCGCCCACGCTTCGACGATATTTTTGGGGTCTCGTAAAATTACATTGTTGTATTTCATTTCAGTCTGAAGTGTTTTGCTTTTACAAGATTTACCTTTGTATAAATGCCAGAATAAATTCTGGTCAAGTTCACTGGATTTTTCTATTTCATTAAATTGTTCAGACATATACCTATTAAATCAACTCGATTTCACGTAAAGAAAACGAAGTTACATGATAGAATTTGGGGGTATCGTGACGGCTTATCTAAATAAACACATCAACGTGTCTTAAAGATATTATGAGAAAATATCTCTAACCTTGTCATTTTAGTTAGAATGCATGTCGTATTCAGTTGAACTTTAAGAAGTTAACAAGAACTTTAATTTGTATTTACCTATGCATGTGTATATGACGTAGGTGTGTAAATGTTGGAACTCATTTCGAGTGTAATTCAACGCTTTGCCCTGATTGCAATGAACTTTTCTTTCTAGGTTACCTGTAAACGTATCAAATTTCTGTTTCAATGCATACCGACGTTTTCAGTGAACTAGATATAAGTCTATTTTCGACTAGGTCACGTCACTCATGAAATATGCTCTACTGAAGATTAAAGCAAACGCATATTAATGACTTTCTGTGGGAAACCTCTGTTTCACAAAAAACTAAAACAGTATATATAAAGACTGTCAGCATGGCAACACCATCGATGACATATTTTCTCTGGGCATGGATTGGCGGAGAATCAACCACAGTTTCTAACTATAAGTAAAACACAACTACGTTGCAAAAACTAAATGATCGTAGGCTTCGACGTTGTAAAACGGGCATAAAGCAGTAAAACTGAAACAAAAGTTTATACAAACGACGGTTAAAAAGTCTAAAGTAAGAAAAACTAACAACAACAATGAAACAAATTACAAGGATTACCCAAAGACCACGAAACATTACGGTGATGAACTAGTACTCAAGGATAACAAAGCCTAGTAGCATTGCATAGTTTCTGAACACTGATGAGGATTGTCTCACTTGTTTAGTGCAGTCCTTCCGAAGGTGTACAAATTGTTGCAGGACATTCGGTCCTGTAGACTTAAAAGTTTTACAGGACCGAATGAAGTTTTACCAGTCCGAAGTTGCCGAACATATACATTCATCAAAATAACTGATAACAACAATATATCTCTGTGCATGTCTTGTTTTAATGTTTTTATTGTTTATCTAATAATTATAAATCAAATTCTGTTTCTTCATCCTCATCCATTGTCATACACATATGCTGTAATACATTGTCCACAATATCGGCATCACTGTTCATGTCACCACTACCATCATCAGTTTGAGTCACCATGACCAAAGGTTCTAAAATGAAATAAATGCAACATGTGATATAGATATGAAGTGTTTCTTGTGGTTTTTTTAACTACCATGCTTTACTCACAAAATGAATTTCAGATTTATTCTGATAAAATCAATAAATATTTCTTGCCTACTCATGGGTATGGATATCCTTGTTGGTGACTGAGCATGTTCTATGATCATTATACATATGATGATAATTTTTCAGCTACTTTTATGATAAATATTGATACATTTATTAGTTAAAACAAACCTGCAGTTTCAGGCTCTTCTGGATCTGGTCTGTCAATGACACTCACAGTGGCATGGGAATCCTCAAGCTCACAAGTTAAATCTGTATTTGATAGAATTAAATATCACTCACTAAAACGGTTTTAAAACATGAGATCTGTGATGTCATAGCATTTTATTCATTTGATTTTATCAAGCTATTCAATATTGCAATGCATAGGTAACATTAATACTATTTCTGATCACTTCATTTTGCATGATCATGTAAGTAGAAGTACATTTATTTCAGATTAATTATACAATGAAGTCAATAAATGATGGCAAATGTTACCATCACCAACTATCTGAATAACCAAATATTAAAAAAGAAAAGCTTACCAACAGTTTGAATGTTGTCTTTCAAGACTTTGCCACTTTCTGAGGTCTTTGACTGCTTACTACGCTGGTAAGACGTTAGTCTTGGTTTTTTTGCAGAAACCTATGGAAGCAAGCACACAATTCATTTTGAAGTACTTATAATATACCGAGACAGTGGTATTAACATAGAGCATATAATAGTTCTAATCTGGCCTGGAATCAGAATCATATTCAGGCTAGTAAAGCTATTGAGCAACTGAAACTTAATTGTAATTACAAAACTTACCATAATCTATAAGCATTTTTTTAATAAAAAAAAAATTGAATAAACCGTTCAATTAACTTGTGTTTTCAATTCACTTCTGTGGCAAACAAATTATGTTCTAAGTATTGTTTTGTTTTACATTGTATATGTTAAGGCTTACCAGCCACTGGTCGATTGAGTTCTTCGGGTCAAACTCCTGTATGGTTGGACTTTCCAGTTTCACTTAAATTATATCATTCAGGGTTTGTGTTGTGAGACTAGTTCTCCTACTAGTCTTTATGAGCTTTAATTGCGAAAAAGTAGTTTCGCAAGAAACGCTTGTGGGTGGCAAGCAGCTTAGGAGTTCAATTATTAGGTTCAAGTCTGGAAAGTCCCTTAAATGTTGGCTGGTGCTCAAGTCAGAACACAATTGCTTCTGCATATCTTGTCCAAATCTGTAAATAGAAATGTTCAAAGTTCCTAATCATCATATGATTCTCAATACATTTAATTAAAATCACTCTACTCATAACTCTAGTTATAATATACTCATGTGACTATGTATAATGTTCTGTAGATACATGTACCTCCATGTCTGATGATATCTATACTAATATTTTACTATGAATTTCAACATAAATAAATATAATGTATACTACACTTGTGTACTTACTCTTTATATAGAATCTTCTTGAGGAGACGGAACTCTGAAATGGTATTCTCAGTGCTAAAATCAAGTCGTGCCTTAGCTAGTGTCTGCTGAAAATGCTTGCATACTGCATGTATCTCGGCCTCTCCAAAATCTAACAAAAGAAAATACAAATCTACATTTATATCTTGCATTTTTCAAATGATTTGGTCATAGTTGAAATATATACTCATTTCTTGGTATAATGGTAGATAAATATAATGTTTATATTAGATATTTTCAAAATAAGCCTGTAAGAAACATTTACATCTTGATATTAATTAATGTCATATCCATATGGCCAAATTGTAACTGATGAACAGCATTAGCACAATCTCAAATTACAAATATTTGTCTGTCTGCAAACTGTATTACTACACTGATCTGTTCATAAATATCAAATTCCAATTGCAAATATGTAGTGTATTAGGAAATGAATTTAATCTAAAACTGAAATAAAAATGAAAGTCAATTAACATAATTAATGGTTCAATTACTGAAAAAAAACCAATGCAAATGAACAATAATAAATAATGTCACAAAACAAAGAAGTAATGAAACTTGAAACTAAATAAAATAAAATCATGGAACACATCCAAGCATTTTGTATGTGGCCATATGCACATAAATTGTACAAGTTCCAGGTAGCCTTAACCAGTCATCACACTTGCGATCAATAATGCTCAGTTTTGACTACATAGTAAATGTTGATGTGCCACATTTTAATGAAAATAAAGATGGTTAGATACCAAAAAGTAAACTGTAAATTGTTAGATACAGAAAAGTAAATCAATTTATAATGCTAATTCCTATAAAACCTTTCTGCTTATCACTGCCCATTTTAGGCCAGTTCATTGGATGCAACAGATTGGTAGCTTTGTAAACATTCACACTTTCGTCATCCAGGTCAAATCTCTCTTTCAATGCTTCAATAAGTCCATCAATTACTGTGTCTTTGTAAGCAAATGAAGGAGTATTGCCCCTGAGAGCAATACCCTCATATGATCCTGTCGCTAATACATCATTTACTGCTTCACAATCTCTGTTAGAATAAATGAATTAGTATATGTGCAATTCAGTGCTATATAAGTTTTATGAAATGAGATCATCAATGCAGATATCCATATCAAAATGTGCACCAACACGACTCGCCTGTTAATAGTTTGTAGACTAGCCACAACTAATTTACAGAGTGTACTTGTACCCCACTTGAGTAAGCAGAGTTAATTACTTATTATTATATTAAGTTTTGATGAAATGTGTCATTATACATGTATGTTTATAAACTGTGTTCAAATGGACCAGGGAAGATTCAAGCTTATGCAATAATTACCTGGATTTATAATCATCTAACAAATCAATTGTAGAAGAAATCCATGTATAGCATTCTGCCACAGAAGATTCTGGACGTTGGAGTTTAAGTGACACCCTCATCAGTGGATCAAGCAGCTCCTAAAATGAAAACAAAGGAAATGAATTAAAAATCATATCTAATTATTAATATGTTAATGCACATAGATGCACTGGCAGTGACTGCACTCATTGTACAATTACATGTTACGATATATCACAACTGTCTGTGTCAACACTGAAAATTTTTGTATTACATGTACTTACTACACAAACTGTAAGACTATATGTTAAGTAAAGCTCAAATATTTAAATTCAGTTGAAATAACATGATGCGTTTACTTACCATCAGAAACAACACGAAGCAAACAACATCTTTGCTTGTCATGATCTTGTATAACCCTTCACCTTTGGGATTGCTATAGCTTATGGTAGCTAGGTGAGCCTCGAAAGCTTTATAAGATCTCAATAAATTCTTGATTCCTCTTGAAAGATGAGGTAACCATCTTGTCCCAGTGACTTTAGTTGGTAACACCCCTTTGATGTCCACTGCATCCATACTTTTGATGAGGCCACTCTTGTTCTTGTACTGTTTATGGTAGAAATAATATAGGCCGATTAACAGCGTCATCAGTTTTTCATAGAGATTGTTCTTCTTGAATACGTCTCGAAATGACAATTCTAGACGGTGAGCGAAGCAATGCATATTCAAAAGCTCAGCATTGACATTACTGCGTAGCAGAGCTGCAAGTCCCCCTTTCTTTCCAACCATATTTGAGGCACCGTCACTGGCCATACCAATCAACTTTTCTGAAAAATAATATGTGAATGACTATATAAATACAGAAATAGACCACTCTGACTCAGATCAATAGACAATAATGCAGCAGCTTTATTTGTTAAATGTTTCTATGTCGTGAAATGTCACTACTACTAGTACTAGGTAGTAAGTACAACTACATTGCATATTTTTCCCATTCATTTTGGATAATTTTTTAATATTTTGGAAACATATCTATCTATAAACACATAAAATTACACCATTTCATGCAAAATTTACAGCTATTGCCTAATTAAATTCATAATAATATCACCGAATTTATTATTGACACCAATTGCTAGTCACAAACATGATTGTGGTCAGCGATCAAACTACATTTGTAATTGATTTATATACATGCACACATTTACAATTAGTACATTTTTCTGGCATTTCTGATTGAATTAAAAAAAAAATTAAATCAGTTATAAAACTGATAACAATCATGCCTGTAATGGCTGAAAATGTGTAGACATGCAATATACATGTAACCTGCAAAATTCACCTACCTGTGTCAATGTTATTGGACTTCAGGGTGCCAACCACAAATTCATATACATGGTTTGAGCATGTAGATTCTGGTGTACCCATTGCCAAAAATCTTTCATATATAGCACCTTCGTGATAAAACCTTAGGTAGACAGCCTCCTGTTCGTCACCACTTATGTCGGTGGTCCCGTCAATCATGAATGAGAAAAAAAATGTACAGTTTTCAGCATATCATGGGTTCGTGCCCTTTCACTTGATGCAATGCTGCGAATGAAGTCCAATGCTGCATTATTGTTTAAGTAGGTATTTCCTGTGTCTAGGCCTTTTTGTCTGTCTAACATAGCAAGCCAAGCAAAATCACTTAGAGGTCTGTTCTGTTTCATCAAAGCATGGGCGTTTCTGAAGAGGATATTCAAACGGCCCTTTTCTGCTTCTCGGAGCGATTGTATGGCTTGACCTGCTCTGGTAAAATTAAGCTTATCTATTGCTGACCTTTTATCCGCATCTTCCAGCTCAAGAGCTTTAATATGGGCCTTGCTGCATTCATGATCAATAATGGCAGATTTTTTTAAATTGCTGCTGCCCGATACGAAACTCGATGACTGTGTCTGTGAGCCTGCGGCTGTGCAATATTTAATGCATATGGTACAGGTCATCAAATTTTGTTCTCCGTTAAAATTCAACCACGGTCTGCTGTCCTTCCAGCTTGGTATGAATACCCGTCTCCGTTTTGCTTCATATTCAGCCGCTTTTGGTGGAGGCGTCTTGCGCTTTGATTTACCAGGGGTTGCACCCTCGTAGTATCGCAGCATTGCTAACACTGTATACTAACATAAAAATGGCGACCGGATGTTTTGAGCACAATATAAATGACGAGTCGTTTCCGGACCTTCGGTCCGGTTTTTGCAAAATTTTCTCCGGTCCTGAAAAGATTTTACCGGCGATCGCCGACGGACCGGCGTCCTTCGGAAGGACTGTTAGTGTCAAAGTTATATACCGCGATACTACTTCGGTCCAAAAATACATTGACAAGTTGTGAGTTTAAGCATGTGGGCAGTGTGGTCACCTGTTTTGCTTGTGCATGACCAACATATTTTGTACAAAATATTCTAAACATACAAAGTACGTGTTATACACCTCCCCCCCCCCTCCCTCTCTCCCCCCCCCCCCCCCCCCGCCCCCGCCCCATTCTCTCTCTCTCCCTTTCCTCGTAAAACTTGTGCCCAATCCTATAGCTACTTATGTGCAATAAAATATGTTTAAATACAAAATACGAAAAAGGTATCAGTATTATCGAAAGAACTTCAATGTAGGTGTCTCATGGCTGTCAATGGTAAAATGTGTACATATTATGTATATGTCATAATGACAAATTAACTTCATTTTCTCGAAAATGCTGTCACGGCAAGAGACCCAATATACACCTTTATAGCTGTGTCAAGCTATGAGATCAAAGGGATGTCAGCTGGAAGGTTAGAGTGTAACACATTCACATTCCCAATCAGCTGTTAAGCTTATCGCTAGTACCATCATCGGGGTTTTCTGGATTACATGCACAGTGCCCCTTTCGCACTGACCAATCAGAATTAGCAACACAAAAAAGTCCGCCAAACCTGATGTGGATGTCTAGAAATATATTATCAAAACTGATTTGCCGAGATTTTTTTTCTTCAAAGGTGAGCTGGGAAAAGCATATGCAACCGATAACACTTTATATCTACAAGTGTAGAAAGTATATTGTTTAGTAGGTTGTCGAAATTGTGACAGAGAATATAAGTGATCACGGAAGTAGAAATCCCAAATTGTGCTGACAAAGTGGAAACGAAATCCAGGAAAGTTAACTCTGGGGGATCGGAATGGGGGTAACCTGGACTTGAAGTAAATAACTGGATTGGTTACGATTCTTTTGATTTTCCATTCAACAATGATATCCTCAGTCATAACAAAGTGGAAATGTATAAGGACAAATTTAAAGCCCCAATATACGTAGAATTATACATAATTATTGAGATATTCTTTAAGCTGTAGTTAAAATTAAGTTATTCAAACAATAGTTACCATGACTTTGTGCATAAAGTATTGATATGTGAGCAGTTGAAACTCGCAATTTGTAAACACACCTCCATTTTAAACACGCCGCCATCGAAATTACGATTGTTGTCGAACACGTCGGAAAGTTCATGGCCTGATCTCGCGAGAGTTGAGGTTTCTACTTACAGAGGAAGCACATGCAGATATGTCTACGGTAAGTTTTTGTTTACAAACATTGTTTGCGAAGTCTTGACGTAAACTTGAGGTATTCCTGAGATAAACATTCAGTTTTTTGGGAAATTATTAGAAGGAGTAATTAGTTTAGAAACGATACGACGCACAATTATAACGTAAGAATTCAGAGCTGGCCTGATGTATGATTGGAAAGAAAGGAAGCGACTGGTGGACGTCTGTACTGTGTCTGCCATGTTTACACGCGGAATATGCGCATGCGCAATGTCATCGCTACGAGCGGTAATGTATGAATTATTTTGGGTCCCACATTGTTTATTTTCCGATTTTTTCAATTTTTATTTAAATTGAAAACAGTCAGTTTTATTTTCTTTAATTAAAGGAAAGTATTTGTTTTGTTACATATATTACGGGAAAAATAAGATAAAGTTTGTTTTTTTATAGTGATTTTTACGTATATTGAAAAACATCAATGAATGAAAGTCTGATTAAATGGTCCATTGATGTATTACTTATCTGTGTGGGACTTGAACGGACAGTTCTTTCCCTGCAAAATTCCCAAATTTTGCTCAGTACATTTAACATGTGTTAACTTCCTAAAATCGCTGGATTGAGTCAAGTATAAAGTTCCTCTAGTCAATGCGACTATTCAACAACGGCTGTCACAAATACTACACACTTATTCACATTGTTTCCTGTGTAGTAGGATAAAGCCCGTGGTTAAGTGGACAGCGGTTTGTTTTATTTTCACTATTATTGTTGTTGCTTTGTATTCGATCAATTCAGGATTCGTCATAATTTCTATCAATTGAATTATAAAAAGTATAATTATTGTAGTCGCTAAATTCACGAATTGTGAAAACGGAGATTAACGTAGATGCCACCCGCCTGTGTGTTCAGACATCGTTTGTCTACTCAAAAGGGAAAAAAACATAATTGAAATTATTAAAAAAAGTCATTAATCAAGACTTAATCACCCTGCCTTTACTTTTACCTGTAATCTTCTTCAAAGAGTGTTAGTCCTGGTCCTTTGTCTTCTACTACAAGTCACTTAAAGTTCTGATGGCGAGCTTGAATTACCGAGGAGTTGTGTATCAAAAGTAGGCCAATCCGACCTATATTTAATACTTTGACCTACATCAGAGAAAAGTTTGTCTTGGCTCTATCCCTGCAATTCAAGTCTCTGGGACTTCTAACTCGGGACGATCTAAGAACATCATTTCGCTTTCGGTTGAAAATTGTTTTGCTATATGAAACATATGGCATGTTTTCATATTTGTGTCACTTCTTTTTATAGTTTTCAATTTTTGCAATATCAAATATGAATATAGAGGCAAATAATGAACATAAGATATCTGATATGGTAAGGTATTTAATTGGAACAACAATACTCCAGAATACACGACAAATTTCAAGTATACACCTGTGAATACCGCCTAGACAGCAGATTAACGTTGGCCCAATGCTGGGCCAGTGCCTCGCCCTTTTGGGTGGGCCAACGATGGAAAATGACGTTGGGCCAACATCCTTTTGCAAAAACTATGTTGGGCTAACATCGGACAACGTTTTATTGTGCCAGAAACTGTTTCATTATTAATTTTCTTCATTTTTCTTGACAATTGTGTAGTTTATATAAATTGAAGAGTATGTTTTATTTTGCTATGTTTTGCTAGTTTGTAACTAAGTTAAATAATTTTGATAGGAGACACATGTTAAGGCTAAATTAGGGTCAGAGTAAAGTCAATAACAAAGAGTTACACAAATTCTCACTAATCTCAGGTCCATACAAATTCGGCTATTCTTTGATGTCAAAGGCAATAACTCTTTTAAATATAAAAACATACAAACATATGGAAAGCCTTAAATAGATGAAAAATAACAATAGGGCAATTAGTTGGAAGGGTCACACAATGGGGCCAGAGAGTGTTGACACTGCGCTTGTTTACAGGTGAACCAGGTTGGACAGGTACGTTGTAGATGTCAGGTACGCTCAACATGCGCGGTGATTATCTACAGGGCTAAGAGGCACCAAATAGGGATTTTGTAAATTATTATTATTTTCTCTATTAAAATTTCCCTATTCGGACCCCTGGGTGGAGAAGCGGACAGAGAAGTTACATATATGTGACACGTGGGCCAGGGTCACTCTACACCCTGACTACGGCCAAATAAAGATCATCGGATTTAACCTCGGCTGTTGATTCACTTCCAAAACTGTGTCATTAAGTCAAAGAGAGAAAATAACCAACGTTACAGTAAATATCATTTTGAATGTCCAATAAGCATTGATAAAATGTGGTCTTTACAGCCAACACACAAATATGGTTTGTACTGTGTCAAAAAGTAGAAAGTAAAAAGTTGACGCCTGATAATTAAAAAAAACCAAAGACTGTTTAAATCACATTAATCCATTTTATTTTCTTTGTTAGTTGACAAGTTCTCGGTCGCTTGAGCATCTCATCCAGATTTTTCCATACAACCCCTTAAATGTTTTGATAATGATAACTACCAGGGTATTTGCAAATTTAAGTTCGAATTTAATCGGCATTTGAGGATTAAGATAATCAAGATTGCCAATGTATATCAAGATACAGAAATCATTTACTCATAAGAGAAATCTTTTCATGGGTGACATTGTTTATATAGGAAGTTGTGGTGTGATATTTAGAGCAAAATTTAACACAGACGCACACACACATACACACATACGCACACACATACACACACACACAGACACTCACACACACAAACACACACACACACATACACACACAGACACACACACCACACATACACACACACATACACAAACACACATACACAAGCATACCACATACACACACAGACACAACCTCACATACACACATACACACACCACACATACACACATACACATACACAATCACACATACACAAGCATACCACATACACACACAGACACACCCTCACATACACACATACACATACACAAGCATACCACATACACACACAGACACACACAAGCATACCACATAGACACTCACATACACACACACACCACACATACACACATACACACACGCACACACACACACACACACACACACACACATCATGATATGTATCATGGATTTCGTAATGTGTGTAGTGTACATATAGGATACCATACATTATTTTGCAGACTCATGCAATACCTGTTACACTCCGCAATAAGACACAACTATTGACTGAATGTTGTGTGTATATATATATATATTTGAAGGTCAACTTGTCATTCACATGCAGGACAGCTCAAGTTGGTAAATAAGAATCTACCTTTGTTGAGAGACAAATAAAAAACATAATAGATATGCTAACGACACGTCTTAGTATGATATGTTTATACCTTACATTATAATATGAATCCCGTGTGCATTTTCTCAATCTGAATTAAACGAATGTTCAACCTTCCTGTTGTGTGTTACTAGCCAGCGTGTGCACAAACGACTAGTCCATTGCCGATAGAAAAACTTTTATAACTTAGTTATTACTAATGCTAGCCGAATCCAAATTGTCATTTAAGCAGAAATTTTGAACCGAGAAAATGACATGATGCCAACTGTTAGTTTTACTACATAAAGCTAATGTCGGGCCAACATATTAGAACCGATTGTAAGTTTTATTTCAGTCAACCAACGTTGACTGGGGATACAACAATAAGCAAACGTTGGGTCAACGTCATTACGCTAAGGCCAACGTAGGGCCAAACAAACGACCAACAACCAGCCTTTAGGTCAACATTGGTCTGCTATCTGGGCGTCTTTTTAAAACCATTCAGTATGAAAAATGTGTTCAAAATCCCACTGTACCAATCCAATTGCTTCCAAGCGTTTCAATGACAAACAAACGTTGAAATAAAGGAAGGCTTATGAAGTCTTGTTTTGAATATTTCTTATCGGAAATGACCCGGAACAGAGTGGCTGGTCTCAGAATAACGAACATTGTACATGTCGCTAACACAGGTTTTACCTGTATATATTGTAAGACTTTATCAAACAAAGAGAGCTCAATGACCACGGTATAAATATCCCTTTACTATTTCACAATGGACATAAAGCATTGCAACAAAATAAAGAAATTAGTCCCCCCAACCAACCACCTCCCACACAAACACCCCCCACCCCACCCCGCCTCCCACACAAACACACACCGCGCTCTGTTACTTTGATAAAGTCTGAACGTATCTTATCAAAGTGTCCTAATTTCTGATAAATTCGAGTTTATAGTTAATAATGCTACCGACAGAAAAGAAAGATACTACAAATATATTACATTGATGGTTGATGGTTATATTAGTTTTTTTTTTCGTATTTTAACTATTTTCCAGATCATGAACATATATGTATCTTCGTTTGTAATTGCAAATTATTCTCAATGGTTACCTTCGGTCGTATTGATGATGGATTTGGAGAGTTCTTTCTCCCGTGTCCTGCAAAACATAAAAGTTGTAAACTTCGCATTGCTTTGATGCATACTCAGCGCTTTTCACGTGTTCTGCACGTGTACATTCTCAATTCCACCGCCCACCACGGTATTGCAGAAGTTTTACGAGATTTACTCTGCTTTAAAGGAACCTAGTTATTTGTAATGTTTATAACAACCTTGGATATGTGGGATAATTTTGGTATTTATTGTGGAAAAGTGACGTAAAATCTACACTTTGTGATGTAATTTCAGTGCCTTGGGGGTCCTCTCGACGGAAAACACAATTCGCGGTTTCAAACGTTCGCCTAAATCTATGTTAATGTTGTGTTCTGGAACTGAACTCATAAACATAGGGTCTATGCATAGTAACAACGACAGAGTGACACAGGTCGCTCTCGTCGGTACGACAATAATCATATGATGGGCGATCTTGCCACCTAACTCGTCCACTAGAAATTCTATCATCTCCGTGATTTCACCCTTATATTTCTTCTGTGATTATGACGTAATTTTTCAATCTGTTGGAATTCTTTAAATTCCACATACCATTGATTCACCAGCTTCTCAATAAGACGGTAGTCTTGATGCAGATCCTTACTCACAGAAAGAAATGTATGTAGTATATTTTCATTGAGATCACTATGACAACCGTAAAGCGTCCCCATATTTACTAGTTTTGAAATCCTGTGTTTGGGTTATATGATGAGTGAGTCCACTAGTTGACGATGTCATGCAGCAAAATCGTGATATTAGGAGCAGGAAGTTGTAAATAAAATCAACTGCGACATTTAAACATCATAGGCGATAGGGATTCAGGCATGTTGCCACCAGAAATGGAAAAAATCACAATGGGGAAATTGAAAGCATCACTCTTAACATACAGCGTGCTTGAAAGCTGTCCATTATATAAAATTATTATCGTACCAGACAAAACTAAAATTGTTGCAAATAAAAAATATACTTTATTAAAATGTTTACATTTAAGATTTACATGTATGAAAAAAGTGTTAATAATAAATCCGATTGAGAATATATACATACATACGTATTTGTCCTTAAAAAGAGATATAGGTCACGGTTGTCTTGAAATGTAAACGTTAGAGTTAGAAAATTTAGTCAGTCAGTGGCAGAGGTAAAGTTGTTGCAACATTAAAATTAACATCAAGTGTAGATGTTTGACTTTATATCAAATCCATGATAATGTATACACTTTCTTGTTAATTGGAAACTCCTCTGATGTCTAGATCTGTTCATCATGATACATGAACATGATGGTAGCCACACCAACGCAGATCAAACTTAAAACTGAAAGCGGAAGTCGGAGCGGTCCAGAATTAGTGCATTTTTCGTCCTCTGTCGAAATTGTTGCAAAAATTCTGGCCGGACCGCCACTCCCATCCTTTATTTTGGTAACAGCGGCAAATATGCGAGTTCCCGAAACCGGAATTGTATCTAGATTTGCAACATTTTCTAAACCAACCACATTGTGCTTAGACAGCACTACATGTGTTGGAAAGGTTGATGATTGGCCAAAATCTGTGGAGGGTGTGTCTACCCCAATCATGTACACATGTCGCTGGTTGATCAGCCACGTGACTGTATCTTGGTGCCAAGCGGGAAAATGAAATGTACTGGGTACACTCGGAGTTTCTGTCCCAAACACGGCTGTTTTGTTCGGATATTTCGCTCCCCAACCGGAATTCATAATGACTGCAGCATTGTCCGGAATCCGTCCGTTTACAGATTCCCATTCTGTTATGTCATTTAGTAGCACTCGGTAATCCGGATTATCACGAGCTTTGTCCTTCACATCGATGACAACACCCGGTCCTGTCAGCCTTTCCATGGGTATCTGTTGTGTTCGCCATCCTCCCTCGTAAAAGTGCGCAGGCGAGTCGACATGTGTACCGCCATGTTCAGCCGTGGCAATGAAGTTAGACTCATACCTGTAAGAATAATTATGTAAGTGGTTTGAGTAACAATAAAAAGACATGGTTGTGTGGATGTATTGTTTTCGTTTTGGTTAAATTCTGGATGTTTCCCGCCAACTCGGTTAAAGAGGGATTTCCTACATCTCGATCAATGATACCACTACCATGGATTTTACAGCTCAGTTGAAGACACCATTGACACCCAGTCGGATAAAAGGCGTGAAGAATAAAAACAAATTGTCCTTTCGATGACTTTTCAGCGAGCATAACTTTTCAAAAACTGTATTTGGGAGATTGCACAAAAAAGTGAAGTAACGGAGGCCATTTTTATTTCAATGCCACTACTGGGATTCGGACCTAGGTGGCGAGTAGTTACAGCAATGCTGGTGGGGTTTGACTAAGCATTAATACCGAGTCCCTACATGGGCGCCAATGTACCAGAGGTCATTTTGTATTTCAATACTAGGATTCGTCTGACTTACTAGTCTGACGCTCAACCGATCGAGCTAATGAGAGGTTCTCTCTAGCCGAGCAGTATATTGCGGCTGGTACTTACCAGGGTTACAGAGATAAAAAGAAGTTCTCTCTAGTCTAGCGGTATTTACCAGGATTACAGAGATAAAGAGAGGTTCTCTCTAGTCTAGCGGTATTTACCAGGGTTACAGAGATAAAGAGAGGTGCTCTCTAGTCTAGCGGTATTTACCAGGGTTACAGAGATAAAGAGAAGTTCTCTCTAGTCTAGCGGTATTTACCAGGGTTACAGAGATAAAGAGAGGTGCTCTCTAGTCTAGCGGTATTTACCAGGGTTACAGAGATAAAGAGAAGTTCTCTCTAGTCTAGCGGTATTTACCAGGATTACAGAGATAAAGAGAGGTTCTCTCTAGTCTAGCGGTATTTACCAGGGTTACAGAGATAAAGAGAGGTGCTCTCTAGTCTAGCGGTATTTACCAGGGTTACAGAGATAAAGAGAAGTTCTCTCTAGTCTAGCGGTATTTACCAGGGTTACAGAGATAAAGAGAAGTTCTCTCTAGTCTAGCGATATCTACCAGGGTTACAGAGATAAAGAGAAGTTCTCTCTAGTCTAGCGGTATTTACCAGGGTTACAGAGATAAAGAGAGGTTCTCTCTAGTCTAGCGGTATTTACCAGGATTACAGAGATAAAGAGAGGTTCTCTCTAGTCTAGCGGTATTTACCAGGGTTACAGAGATAAAGAGAAGTTCTCTCTAGTCTAGTAGTATTTACCAGGGTTACAGAGATAAAGAGAAGTTCTCTCTAGTCTAGCGATATCTACCAGGGTTACAGAGATAAAGAGAAGTTCTCTCTAGTCTAGCGGTATTTACCAGGGTTACAGAGATAAAGAGAAGTTCTCTCTAGTCTAGCGGTATTTACCAGGGTTACAGAGATAAAGAGAAGTTCTCTCTAGTCTAGCGGTATTTACCAGGGTTTTACCAGGTTTACAAAATAATGAGTTCAAATATCTTTCTTCCTTCCAGGACTCGTCAATGATTCTAAGGGCCTTAAGTTTGTATTAAGTTATCAAAAGATAAACAAAATTAGCAGGGTCTCAAATACCCTGGATCAGGTAGTAATTGGTCAGTGGTAAGAATGTTCTATATATTTTACACTATGTTTTTTTTATTTCCAACGTGGTGACCATTGACCACCAAAATCTAATCAAGTGTGGATCATGGTCGTAGACCAAGGAGCTACGTTGGTAGTCGAGTGTACTGTTGTACACCAGAAAAGCGAACTCCTTTGCGCTAGCTTGTTCACTGGAGTTAACAAAATTGTGCACTTAGTTCACTAACTTGTGCACTGAAGTTTAACTCATTGCTCAATAAAAATTCAGAATATATCTTGTTCAAACAGCATATATACAATTGTGTTAACGCACCATACACCACATCGAGCACTTTGTGCAGAAATAATCCACACACGCGCGAGACATTATCTAGCGTGCAACTGCATTATAGTATCGCCCCTAGTATCGCCCCTTTTGTGCGGTTTGATGAAAAAGGTTTACGCCCCGATACCGGCGGCCTTCGCTTTCACCTACCTAATACGTTTATATTACTATATTGATATGTTGTAATTTTACAACAGTGTCTCATAAGCCGACATAAAGTGGATATCACTTTTTGTACTGCGAGATGTGGCACTCACAATAAAACATACAGTATTGTACTACAAGGTTTCTTCAGTGTATAGTTTCACACCCTCAAATATCGGCGTGTGGTGTGCTCCGTGCCATACCTGAATACGGGTAATTAAGGAATGTTCATGAAATTACGTTGCTTGTAGTATAATTTTTTGAAATAATTTATTGCCGAGACTAAAGGTGACGTCCATTTATATCATGATTGATCTGGTTGGTAATGTCTATATCGAATTGTAATGTGCATTATCAGTGGGATCTATTTCATATTTCAATAAATTTGTAACAGCAATTATGTATTTATCACTGACTGGGAACGACAGTGACAATAGTTTTTTTCAGCTGGTTGGACAAGGAGGCCATCTGCCTACGCATATGACACAGCGAGCAGTACTACTGCACATGTAATCTATTCAATACCTAGTGTTAGACAAAATGTCGCAATGCCGATTACAATGCAGTGTTCCCACCTGTTTACAATCTGGTCACGATATTTTCCACCAGACTGTACACAGAACAATAATAAAGCCCAAAAACATGTCCGAATACTTAACATCTCCCCAGATAGCACTACATTGTTGAGCTAGCGGTGCCGAATACTTAACATCTCCCCAGATAGCACTACATAGTTGGGCTAGCGGTGCCCAGTACTTAACATCTCCCCAGATAGCACTACATTGTTGGGCTAGCGGTGCCCAGTACTTAACATCTCCCCAGATAGCACTACATTGTTGGGCTAGCGGTGCCCAATACTTAACGTCTCCCCAGATAGCACTACATTGGTGGGCTAGCGGTTCCGAATACTTAACGTCTCCCCAGATAGCACTACATTGGTGGGCTAGCGGTGCGATGCGACGATCCGCATAGTACAGTGTTGGCTAGCGGTGCGATGCGACGATCCGCATAGTACAGTTAACTATCTAATGATCGTGCTCCGCTGTTGGCCCTATTTAAAAAAAAAAACATTATTTTTACAACCAATGACGGATTGATCCGGTATAGCCTCGTTAGTGGAAAGATAAATTTCACAAAGGCAAGAAAAGCTGTGTATATCCTGTGATTTTTAGTTATCTTAAATAATTATGGGTAAAAAATAAAATGAAAAGACCTGACATAAGAATTTAATTTGCATAAGTGCAAAATTATGCCATGGTAATTTTGGGGAACTCTAGTCGTAATCCACAACGGGTTTATACTGTAAGTGTAAAAGTTACGTTAACAGAAGTAACCAAAGCAAACATGTGATAAAGAGGTTGTTTTAAACTACAACACGAGACGTGCATTCATATCACACAGGAAATACAGGTGTGTACTTCATATCACACAGGAAATACAGGTGTGTACATCAAATCACACAGGAAATACAGGTGTGTACTTCATATCACACAGGAAATACAGGTGTGTACTTCATATCACACAGGAAATACAGGTGTGTACTTCATATCACACAGGAAATACAGGTGTGTACATCAAAACATGTATGACGGTGATTGTTATCACAGGTTTCAATACTGTATAGTCATAAAAATTCCTCAGCAATGTATATCTTATTTCTTAAAAATACCAACTGCGCAATAGCGTCACTGGCAATATTATTTTTAGACGGTGTCTCGGCTTTTTTACCTGTTTACGGTATTAATGCAATGTATATTATATATAGGTACACATTACAAGCAGTGTACGATTGTCACCTGTCCTGCCACTACTAATCAAGCACAAGGGTGGTTGGTTGACAGGTTTCCTTGAGATCCTAAACTTCGAGATTGCAGGTATTGGTGTTGTGTTTGCTCTTTGACCCTACAGTCAGTGTTGAATAAACAGTTCTGTATAAATATTACCGAGAACTGTTAATCCCCATTGCTACCACAGCCAAAGGGTGACTCGCGCCGAAAGGAACTCTATCGACTGTGACGTCATAAGTTCAACGACTGGTAGCAGTCGCCATATAATGAAAAGTTAAGTTCGAGAACAGCTATGTTATGCGACGTTAGGTAGAAAATTAATGTCAAATAGTTTTAACGAATGTGATAATTCTGACGATAATACTATGTAGACATGAAACAGTCAGACGAAATTTGCCCGGAGTGATCGATTTAATTATATGTATTGTCAACTTTAGAACAAGGGATGAGGCACCATTGGAAATTATTACTATCGTATTAGTAGTAGTAGTAGTAAATTAAGGGTTCAACTCGCTCGGTATCCCGGTTTGTGGTACCGGGTACCCCTGTCTCCACCCGCCCTGGGGTACACCTGACCTCTATCCCCACCCGCCCTGGGGGTACAGCTGACCTCTATCCCCAACCGCCCCGGTATGTGGTATCAAGCACCCCTTTCCCTACCCGTCCCGGTATGTGGTACCAGGTTCCGTTATCCCCATCCATCCCGGTATGTGATACCAGGTTCCGTTATCCCCATCCCTCCCGGTGTGTGATACCAGGTTCCGCTATCCCACCACCGGTATGTGGTATCAGGTTCCGTTATCCCCATCCACCCCGGTATGTGGTACCAGGTTCCGTTAACCCCCCACCGGTATGTCGGTACCAACCATAGGTACACGTTTACCGGTATCATTATAGATACCTGAAGAGACTGTCCACTTTAACCCGAGGTGTATTAGGTCGATGCGTATTGGACCGCGCGGTGGTCAGTGTCAAGGTGTCAACAGTGAACTTCCCATGCAAGTCATTCAGGTGTATCTGACCTCATGTTTAGAGGTGTATTCTAGCGTAAAGTTCAGAATTAGATCAGATAACTGTATGTCCCCTGCAGCCTTCCATCGATTACATAATATCTGTGTTGACATGTTACATCGAGATCATATAAACACCCAAATTATCGGGGTGGGTGGGGATAGGGG